CCTCAATTGTTACAGTTTCTTCAACTTCAGGTGTTGGTTTCACTTCAATTTCAACTTCTGTGAGTTTTGGAGCTTCTACTTCAACTGTATCAGTGGGTTTCATTTCTATTTCAACAATAGTAGGTGTTGGTTTCTCCTCCTCAATTGTTACAGTTTGTTCAACTTCAGGTGTTGGTTTCACTTCAATTTCAACTTCTGTAGGTTTTGGAGCTTCTTCTTCAACTTCAACAGTTGGTTTCATTTCTATTTCAACAATAGTAGGCGTTGATTTCTCTTCCTCAATTGTTACAGTTTCTTCAACTTCAGGTGTTGGTTTCACTTCAATTTCAACTTCTGTAGGTTTTGGAGCTTCTTCTTCAACTTCAACAGTGGGTTTCATTTCTATTTCAACAGAAGTGGGCATTGGTTTTTCTTCCTCAATTGTTACAGTTTGTTCAACTTCAGGTGTTGGTTTCACTTCAATTTCAACTTCTGTAGGTTTTGGAGCTTCTTCTTCAACTTCAACAGTTGGTTTCATTTCTATTTCAACAATAGTAGGCGTTGATTTCTCTTCCTCAATTGTTACAGTTTCTTCAACTTCAGGTGTTGGTTTCACTTCAATTTCAACTTCTGTAGGTTTTGGAGCTTCTTCTTCAACTTCAACAGTGGGTTTCATTTCTATTTCAACAGAAGTGGGCATTGGTTTTTCTTCCTCAATTGTTACAGTTTCTTCAACTTCAGGTGTTGGTTTCACTTCAATTTCAACTTCTGTGAGTTTTGGAGCTTCTACTTCAACTGTATCAGTGGGTTTCATTTCTATTTCAACAATAGTAGGTGTTTGTTTCTCCTCCTCAATTGTTACAGTTTGTTCAACTTCTGGTGTTGGTTTCACTTCAATTTCAAGTTCTGTTGGTTTTGGAGCTTCTTCTTCAACTTCAACAGTTGGTTTCATTTCTATTTCAACAATAGTAGGCGTTGATTTCTCTTCCTCAATTGTTACAGTTTCTTCAACCTCAGGTGTTGGTTTCACTTCAATTTCAACTTCTGTGGGTTTTGGAGCTTCTTCTTCAACTTCAACAGTAGGTTTCATTTCTATTTCAACAATAGTAGGTGTTGGTTTCTCTTCCTCAATTGTTACAGTTTCTTCAACTTCAGGTGTTGGTTTCACTTCAATTTCAACTTCTGTAGGTTTTGGAGCTTCTTCTTCAACTTCAACAGTAGGTTTCATTTCTATTTCAACAATAGTAGGCGTTGATTTCTCTTCCTCAATTGTTACAGTTTCTTCAACTTCAGGTGTTGGTTTCACTTCAATTTCAACTTCTGTAGGTTTTGGAGCTTCTTCTTCAACTTCAACAGTGGGTTTCATTTCTATTTCAACAGAACTGGGCATTGGTTTTTCTTCCTCAATTGTTACAGTTTCTTCAACCTCAAGTGTTGGTTTCACTTCAATTTCAACTTCTGTAGGTTTTGGAGCTTCTTCTTCAACTTCAACAGTTGGTTTCATTTCTATTTCAACAATAGTAGGCGTTGATTTCTCTTCCTCAATTGTTACAGTTTCTTCAACTTCAGGTGTTGGTTTCACTTCAATTTCAACTTCTGTAGGTTTTGGAGCTTCTTCTTCAATTTCAACAGTGGGTTTCATTTCTATTTCAACAGAAGTGGGCATTGGTTTCTCTTCCTCAATTGTTACAGTTTCTTCAACTTCAAGTGTTGGTTTCACTTCAATTTCAACTTCTGTAGGTTTTGGAGCTTCTTCTTCAATTTCAACAGTGGGTTTCATTTCTATTTCAACAGAAGTGGGCATTGGTTTCTCTTCCTCAATTGTTACAGTTTCTTCAACTTCAAGTGTTGGTTTCACTTCAATTTCAACTTCTGTTGGTTTTGGAGCTTCTTCTTCAACTGTAACAGTGGGTTTAATTTCTATATCAACAATAGTAGGTGTTAGTTTCTCCTCCTCAATTGTTACAGTTTCTTCAACCTCAGGTGTTGGTTTCACTTCAATTTCAACTTCTGTAGGTTTTGGAGCTTCTTCTTCAAATTCAACAGTGGGTTTCATTTCTATATCAACAGTAGCGAGCATTGGTTTTTCTTCCTCAATTGTTTCAGTTTCTTCAACTTCAGGTGTTGGTTTCACTTCAAATTCAACTTCTGTGAGTTTTGGAGCTTCTTCTTCAACTGTAACAGTGGGTTTCATTTCTATTTTAACAGAAGTGGGCATTGGTTTTTCTTCCTCAATTGTTACAGTTTCTTCAACTTCAGGTGTTTTTTTTAAATTAAATTTAAAATTCTTAGGTTTTGGAGCTTCTTTTTTTAAATTTAACAGTGGGGTTTCATTTCTTTTTTCAAAAAATAGGAAAGGGCTTTTCGTTTCTCTTCCTCAATGTTAAAATTTTTCCTTAAATCTCGGGTTTTTTGGAAATTACCTTAATTTCAACTTTTTGTTGGAGCTTTTTCCTCTTAATTTTAAACCCGGGTGGGTTTTCAATCTTTTTCACAATGTGGTGTTGGTTTTTTTTCATAAATTTCGTAAAAAAATTTCTCCCAACATCGGGGTTTGGTTTGACTTAAACCTCAACTTCTGTAATTTTTTTGGTGTTTCCTTTTTCTTCAATTTCTTTCTGTGGGTTTTTGGTGTTTTTTCCTTTTAAAAACGGGTAGTTCAGACAACACTTTCTGTGGGTAAAACAAATGTTTCAACTTCAGTTTCTGATACAGAGGTCTCCTGTACTGAATGAATCTCGATTTCACCAGGATATTCAATAAAATACTCCTGATCTTTGCTAGAAACCTTTTCAAGAATAGGTATTATTCTTTCTTTTAATTCTGTTTTTTCCTCTTCCTGTAATAGTAATTTATCTTCATGAATATCAATCTCTTCAATTTCTGCTGATTCCATTGATACAGTTTTATCAGGTTTCATTTGAACTTCTGGCATTGGTTTTAAATCTTCTTTTCTTGTTTCAGATACAATTTCATCAACTTCAATTGCTTTATCAGAAATTTGTGAAATAACAGTCTTTTCAGTAGCAACTGGGAGTGACTCGGTTGTTTCAAAGTCCACTGATTCTACAGATGGACTAACACTACAGACACTAACTTCATCAATTTGATCAAGTGATATAGGAAGGGAATGTGGTTTAACCACAGGAATTTCTTCTATTGGTTTAGCCTTTTCATCAGGGTAATGTACAGGCTCTTCAGTTACTGGAATCTCCATCTCAGAAGTTTCTGTCACTGGTGCTTTTAAATTTTGAGAGGGTAAATACATTTGGTGTAATAAAATGCTTGGAATGATAATACATGTAAAGGTGTAACAGAAAAATTATCCAACACCACTGGTATTATATCTTGACAAGCTATTTTTAATCAAACTTATCCTATAAAATTTTCATTTCTGCACTGTAGAGAAATTCTTACAAATTTTATTTTAAAAAATACTTTATTTACCCTAAAAAATCAAACAAACCAAAGCCCAAAAGGAAAAATTTTACTTTGGTTAAAATTAATGGTAAAAGTCTTTGGAAAGGTGGTAAATTTCATGAAAAAAAAATAGTTTCCCAATTGTGGATAGAGTTTCATGCTATAAACCCTTTTTTTACCCGTTTTTTATAAATCAAATTTAAATAAAAACCTTAAAATCAATCTGACATTTACCCGTTACAAAAAGGATTTCCCAATTTTTAATATGAACCCCAGTTTAAATTTTACTGATTGTCCTTAATTTTGATTCATTTTGGGGGAAAAAAATTACTGTACATGAAAAAAAAAAAAATTATTTCTAAAAAATTTTTTTAAAAAATTTCCCAAAAAAAGATTTAAAGGAAAGCACAGTTTCATGGCTATTGTTGAGAGTAAAATTTCTTCAAACAAGGGAAAAAAGTTTGAAAGACATTTGAGCCCCCGCTTTAAAGGTACCAAAAAATAAAAAAATGTTTAAACAGGACGTAAATTTTTTTTGTTTTTTTGGGTTTTTTTTTATGTTGGGAATTAACACAAGGGAAGGGCATAAAGAGAACCTTTTTAAATTTTTCTACTGGTGTAGGGAGACTTTTTTCTTTGTTTTTGCGCATGACACACCCGTCTTATCATTTTAAAAATTTGTGTCAGCTAACTTAAAAATTTTTTTATGCATACAGATTTAAAGTGTGACCCTTTACCTTTGGGGTAAGGGGCAAAGGTATTTCACATAAACACCCCCTGTCTCTTTAGTTAAACTTTTGTAAAAAAGTTTTTTAAAAATTTTGGGATGGACATGTTATGTGCTGTAACAAGATTTTCTAACTGCTGAACCTTTACCTTGACCTCGAAGTCTTGGCCTTGAGCATTACATATAATCTCATCATGCTTAATATTTAGACCAAAATGTTTCAAAATCCCTTAATGTATGACAGAGTTATGGGCAGGACAAGGTTTTTGAACACACACACCCTCAGACAGGGGTTATACTATGAGATTTATCTGCCAATTAAGTTTCAACCTGATTATCTCAAATACTTTTAGAGTTACACACGGAATAAAAATGTGGGCCAGAAGGATAGACTGACAGAAGAAGACTACTGCCATAACCCCAATAGGATAATAAAATATTACTCAAATTGTATATAATGTCATATTGATTTCCATTATTATAATAAATAATTCCACAAATAGCAAATGTACAAACACTTCTAAATTTATCTTCATAACAGTTTCAGTATAGATCTTGTTGTTAAAATAATCACACTAAGGGGCCCTTTTTATTTTATCAGAAAATGTAAATTTTTTTATTTTAAAAAACTTAAAAAATTTTTTAAAAATGAAAATTTAAACTTATTAACCCTTTTTAAAAAAACAAACCAACTTCCCTTTGTAAGGAGACGCTCCCATTTTTTCCCCGCTTTTAAATTGGGGTTTTTAAAAAGGAAATTCCCCCTTTTTTTTGCTTTCAACCAGATGGAAAAATTTAAAGGAAATTTTGATATTATTAAAAACAATTCTATCAGACAAACTTACAACATACAAATATTTGGTCAAAAACTTACCTTCTACAATAAGTTCAACTGTAGAACGTATAACTCCGAAATCGTTCGATGCCTCTATGGTATATTCGCCCTCGTCTTCTTGGAAAGTTTCTTTGATTAAAAGTGTACAGGTACCATCTTTATGGTACTCGGTTATATATGTTGTAGAATCTTCAGGAATGTATTCACCATCGATAATCCAACGTATTGTGGGTGTGGGGTTGCCTATAACAACACAAGTAAGGTGTGTTGGTTTTCCTTGTTTTACTACAGTTCTAGATAACTCTGTTATGAATCTTGGGGCTTCACCTGTAGGGACTAGGGTGACCTCTTCCTTGCTTTCAACAGGGGCCTTCTCTTCTGAGATGACTTCCTCTGGAACTTTCTATAAAAAGAGACAACAGATTCTTCATAACAAATCTTTTTTCTTACAGGGGTTAGAGAAGAAGATGAAGAGAGAGAAGTACTGAGATCACATTTATACAGTTAAATTTGTATTGTGACTAGCAAGCTAATACTAGTGCTGAAAAATTTAAGCTGACTTATGTCCCAGCATTCATGAATATATTGTAAAAACACAAACTGAACCAATATTATACCTAAAGGAACAATTCAATGTACATTGTGTTCTCAAAACCAAAATCATTACTCAAACAATAATTCTTTGAAAGGAATTGATATAGGTAATTTTGACTTATTTGCCAAGCCAATTTTTCTTTGTTGAAATAGAAAAATGGTGTCTATGTATAATTTAATGAATAAGAGGAGTTAAACTAGACAATAATGAAATGATCAGACTTCTTTGTGTTTATGAATGATTATTGGGTAAGAAGAATAGAGAAAAAAAATCTCATTTTGTCCATACCTCCTCTTCTGGAGCCTCCCTCTGTTCTGGAAGTTGCTCCTCGGGCAGTAACAGCGTTACGTCTGTTTCTGCTGAAGTGACCTGTACAGGGCTCACTTCTTTAGGTATGACCTCTTCCATCTCCACGGTCGTTGCCATGGAGACTTCAGCAGCTGTTGCCGTCGGAGCAACTTTGTCCTCATCTGGAAGAGGTGTCTCATCTAAGGTGACTTCCGTTGAAGATATTTCTGTCTTCTCGGGTGTCACAAACTCGAAAGTTATCTCCTCCTTTTCAACCTTCTTGGTCTCCTCAATTGTCGTTTCTAAAGTGATGACCTCAGACGTTTCTGGGGTCACCTTCTCAGGTGAAATATCTTGACCCTCCAAGGTCACAGTTTCTTCTGGTGCTTCTTGTACGGTAACTTCCTCCTCATCTGCCGGTACTGTAGATAAAAAACAAGAAGATTAAGAAGTTGGAAAAAAGTAATGTTAAATTCTTTTAATTACTTACACTTTATTTATTTGGATATAAGAAAAAACCAGGAATTACTTAAAAATCTTACTAGCAAACATTATTTTCAATTATTCTGGGATTCTGTTTCTGTTAATCCGCCAAAAAACATAAATCATTGTCTTACCTTTTGTCTTGTTCTGTGCTCAAGTGATTATAAAAATATATTTTCAATAGTTTTATTTTGTTAAAGACATGGGTCTATATACTTTAAAAGCATATTTGAAATAATGTGCATGTTTTTTTTAACACATGTTCAGTGATAGGTGTGTGGATGGTTCTAAGTAGTTTTTGTTTGTATTTCTTTATATTAATTTTACTATATTGATTTTTACTAAAGTATGTTTCACTTATAAGCTTTTAGTCCACTATGGCTTCTTGCTACCAATATCTTATATATATTCATGTTTCTGTTGACTTTGATTACTCATGGTTGATGCAGTTGTATAAAATTCAAAGGTATTGTTATATAATCAAAGCTGTACTGTATGTATGTGGTTATGTTATAGGGTATATGATTCTTTAGTCTTTGCCTAATACAGTTATAAAGCCTTTGCCTAATACCATTATCAGGTAATTGATTCTTCAATCTTTGCCTAATATTATTATAAGGTGTATGATTCTTCAATCTTTACCTAATACTGTTATAAGGTGTATGATTCTTCAATCTTTGCCTAATACTATTATAAGGTGTATGATTCTTCAATCTTTGCCTAATACTGTTATAAGGTGTATGATTCTTCAATCTTTGCCTAATACTATTATAAGGTGTATGATTCTTCAATCTTTGCCTAATACTATTATAAGGTGTATGATTCTTCAATCTTTGCCTAATACCATTTATAAGGTATACATGTATGATTTTTCAGTCTTTGCCTAATATGTTATAAGGTATATGATTTATTGCTGTCCGTATTGTTTCCAATTAACACCCTGGTATGTTAGACTATTTTCTTGGTTCAAGGTTACAAAATTACAGAATGAGGACATTCTAAGGAAAGAGGAAATTCTAAGGCTAATAAATGATTAGGTGTTCCTTATTTGACTACCTGATTATCTGAGATTAAGCACTTGGAATTTAAATTGCTTTCAAATCATAAACTAGTTACTGAACTTATCCAAAGAAAATACCATTCTTAGTTTTTCCTCTTTCCGTTATTTCACAACCTTGAACTCTTGATAAGCTATTGATGTCTTCACCAATCAAAATGGTGCAATTGAAAGAGGGATGTTTTCCCCTTTTATTCTGCCACTTTAGATAAAGTATGTAATTATACATATATCTTGGCAGTTTTATTACAATAATATAATGATTGTTCAATCATTATAAAGGAGTATCCCTCTGGAGCACAATAAAAACATGCTGATTCCATGCAAACATTGACCATGCTTTTCTTGTTGTTGTGTTTTTATTCTTAAATGTTTTATAAAGTTTGTCTGACTGCTTTGTTTTTGTCACAATAATAAAATCATGTAAAATCATTGCATAATTCAATAGGAATGTTTTCTTTCACAAATTTGTAAGGAACATTTCCCCACTTCTAGTGTATTTGATATACTAAATTTTTTCATCAGCATGTGCAAAAATTAAGAACAAATGAAGATCCCACAAATGGAAATAATACAAAGAGTATATAGGTGAAAATTTGAGACTTGGTTTGACAATCGGAATTTTTTCACAAGAGATCACTGAACTAGCATGTAAACTTGTGTCAGTCTATATTTGTTCATTAAGTTTTTATTACCTAAACTGTTATTAGATTGCATGCTAGTACTTATGTATTTTCTTATAAGCCAGGTAATGATGGGATAAATGTTGAATCCAGGGGCATGATTTATTGTGTTATAAAACTTAGTAACCCCTAGGGTGGGCTAATAATAGAATGGGCTCAAGTTGTTTTCGTCTTAAGTGTGGTCATAATTGTGAATTCTAAATGTAGTCATCAGTGTGTACTCTTTATGTATAGTCATCATTATGTACTCTTTGTGTATTGTCATTATTGTGTACTCTTTATGTTTAGTCATAATTGTGTATTCTTTATATTAATTATAATTGTGTACTCTATACAATTAGTCATAATTGTGTACTCTTTATATTCAGTCAGAATTGTTCAGTCCTTATATGTAGTCATTAAAGTGTACACTTTATTAAGTAGTCATAACTGTGTACTCCATATGAGCAGTTGCTTGAACTGTGTTATATGCATTGTAACAAGTTTCTACTTACATATATGTGAACACAATCATCAAATCAAATTTACAGGAGACATCGCAGCTGCATGCTATCACAGGTACACAAACAGGGGCTTTAACTCAAAATTACTCATATTCAAAAGTTATTTTTACATTATGCTTAATCCCAACATATAATCTACATTCTTAATATATTATTTGGAGAAAATCTATATGTCATCTGCATGAATTGGCAAAAAAAAGAAAAAAAAAGAGACACAAAATTTGAAAAACCAAAATTAATGTTAACTGTTTTTAGGACAATTCTGGTAACCATATACAAAGAAGGATAACTTAGGATAAAAAATATGCAATTTTAAATATACTGAACTAGATAAAAAAAAACTCAATGCAACACCTCTTGATACAAAACATTTTGAGCAAAATGACATTTTAACAAAATAAATTAAATACAGATTAATGTTGGAAAAGCATAATATATTTTTGAAAGTCATTTTTGTATTCATTCAAGTTTGACAGAGAATGGTTTAAATGTCTTTATGGTAAAACAATATATTGAAGTATGTGCTTAAATGATAATAAAATTACAACAGCTTCTGTTTCAAAATATTTTATTTGATTTTTGTTATTTTGTCCAAAATTTTTTTAATAATTTTGAGCAGTTGTTTTCATGAAATTTTGATTCCTGTCAAAGTCTTGAATGTATTACAACTTAAAAATCATGCTATAATCTGCAATACAATAGGAAGTTAGTCAAACTAGAACGTACATACAGTTGCTGAATTTGGGATAAAATTATCAAGCTATAGACTCACAAAAAACAACTGTTGTTACATATTAAACATTTTCAATGTCCAGTGCTCAATATGCATAGTAATCTTTGCTTATCAATAATTTCATATTTACAAAATTTACACGATGTAATTTTATCTGAAATTCAGCTATTTCCTGTACATAACATTTTATATAAGACTAAGAGCATACGGTTATCTAAAGATAATAATAGTAACAAGAAACTAAATATAGTAACAAGAACTAAATATAGTAACAAAAACTAAATATAGTTACAAGAAACTAAATATAGTAACACAACTAAAAATAATAAACATGCGCTGACAGGTGAGCATGTAGGAAAAAACTGTTTTTCTACTGTTAAAGAACCACTTTTTGTAAAAACAGATATCGAACTGGACTAATTTTTCTAAAATGGGGAAAAGATAAGTTTAGTAAAAATATGACAAATGACAACAAATAACAACATGGTTTTAAGTACAGGTAAAAAGTTAATGTTCGTTAACATCGCTAAACAAAAAGTGGTAGTTCATAACAGTTAAAAACTAGAGGAAGGCACTAAAACAAGAAGCGTTTTCACCAAAAATGAGCTTACATCAGAGTCAAAGTTTTCCAAGAGGGATATTAAACCGTTTTCATGCAAATGGACATTTATATTTGAAATGTATATTCTTTTTCCTCTATTTAGAAAATACTCTGGAATAAAAACAATTTTAAGAATTTTGTTCTTTTTTTTTATAAATTTTATTTGGTCCTTATGGGTTTATAATAAACACAACACACGATTCTGATTTCAATAAACATAAATTCCTTTTTAAAGATAACAAATTTTGCTCACCTGTATTAAATTACAAATTCTACCCTGATATTTTAATTTGGTATTTTTTTCCTATTTCTTATTGCCACTCGAAAAATGTCAGGGGTATATTACATGGCTTGACCATTGCTTTTTGTATTTTATACAACAGTGCAACTAAAAAGCATTTTTTTATAGATTGTTCCTTTTGAACAATCAATAATTGTTCCTTTTGAACAATCAATATTATACAACAGTGCAACAAAAATGCATTTTTAAAAGATTGCTCCTTTTGAACAACCAATATGAATGTCCATTTTTTGCATACTTCTATAAGCAATTTTACAAATGTAAGTCTTATAGCCCATTTCATACATGCCAAATTTCAATCCTCAACTCCAATGTTTACTTAAACTTATATCAATTTTTTTTGCAGATATTTTTTTGTTGTTAATCTGAATTCAAAATGGCAAGTTTATTTATTCACATTTTCATTCAATTTCTAAATAGAAAACAAATCCCTTTTAGCTGGGCTATAAGCTAAAATACAGCTTCTTATAGCTTTGTAAGCATTTAAAGTGTTGCAATTTTATCCTCAGAAGAACAACACTCAGTTTTCAAGACAAATTTTTCTACAATTTACACTGCATTTAAATACTAAAGCATTTATCTAGCAGACTGTCAAGCGCATTAAAACTAATTTAGACAAAGAACTATTCAGTGTCCTTACTTAAGCAAATTTCAACCACGAAAATAATATTTTTTTCTTCTTTTTTTGCAATGGATTTGTGGAATATTATATATCAGGGTAGAAAATGTTTACAGCAAACATTTTGTTTGTTCAACAACTGAGAAACATAAAAGTATTCTATCAAACAGTAGCTACATAAAAACAAAATAAAGTAAAAGAAAAGGTAACTCTACATGCTAAACTTCTCAAACAAAAACGTGATTTTCTTTAACTAAGAACATAAATAACAAGAAGGTACATAGCATTTTGCGTGTATGTCATAAAAAAACAAAAAACAAAACATTTCTGGCAATCTTTAAACAAAGTATGTGTGTAATGTATATCTTTACCGCAGCTACATGTAGCTTTTTTTAAAACTAATGCTGATAAGGTGTATTATGGGTATTATTATTATATAATAAAAATAATCGGTAAAATGTATTCTGAAATAAAGATACAACAATTAACTGAGGTATATAGTGAACTGATTTATCTCTATGGAGAAAATCGTCTGGAATATAATTTAGCTATGGTAGCAAATTACTGGCCACAAACACAAAATAGCAGAGATAAGCATGTTTAAAACAAATTAAAATATACGTTAAAGATTGCCAGATGATAATGTATTAGATGTTTAATTAACAGCAGTTAATATCTACTTACAACCAGGCAGTGACATCGCAGAAACACCAGCACATAAAAAATGGTGGCCATAATTTTTCTTCCCACAATCCCATGCTCTGGTGGTTTTTGTTATTACCCATAATGCATTCTTGTTAGATAAATAAGTAGCATTGGGGCAAGACGCACAGACAGAAAAAAAATAGTCCAACCTAATGGAGTGATTGTCTCCTTCGATGGTTTCTGCGATTCTGGTTGTGTTTCCTCAACAACAATTTCAACAGTTTCCATGGTAACATCAGGTCCACGCTCATCAGCAATATGTGGGACTATAAAAATCGGTCAAACTTTATTAATCAAGATACTTTTAACAACTTTTTTTCTAAACAGATCTTCAAATTAAAAACTCATACTACTCAGTTACACTGATTTTTAAAAAAAAAATAGCAATGTACTGCTAAATTTTTTTCAAATATCACAATAGATAATTATATATAGATTTCAAAATTTCAACCTGAATAATGATTGATATAACTTAATTATTAGGTATTGAAGTAATAATTTTGGTTGTTTTTACTTCTTTTGGATCATTTCTTGACAAGATATTTAAAAATACATTTGCACTACAAAATATCATGTTGTGTGTCCGCAGTTTGATTATGATGGAAATGAGGCTGCTGAAACGTGAACCTGGAACATGTTTTCACAACAACAACAACAACTATACTGAAGCAAATTTTGTCATGATGTTCGCAACAGACAAAGTCTTGCTTCAATATAATACATAGAATCATCACGTCAACTTCAGTCAATGTCAATTTATACAATTCTATTCTGTTTTCATATAAATTTTCTTGCAAAAAATTCAAATATCAAGAAAATAACAGCACATATAAAAACAGAACAGTATCATTTTATGTCAGCATCTCCCAATAAAGACAGAGAATTCTTGATGGTCAAGGTCATTCTTCATGCCAATACTCTCCTTGTCAAAGTGACATGATTATTAAAGGGGACTGGTCTACAATGGATTTTTCAATCTTATTTTTATTTTAAATATTGTCTATATATAGTTATGACATGACAATGACCTTGACCCTTTCATCATCAAAATGACACAAGTAAAGAAATATTTTAATTAGGGACATGATGCATCAGATTTAAAAAAAAAATCTGTCAAAAAATCTTTAAAATATTGAGAAAATAGTGAAGTAATAATAAAAAAAAATCATTAATAGAGTCTGAACAAATAACTTTTCTTTTTCTTACAAATTTTAAAATAATTATTGTCAACAACGAAGTAGATGCATCATGTCCCCTCAAATCAAACAAGTAATGAATAAAAATGGAATGGTTTGAAAAAAGTCATAGAAGATATAAAATGGTCAGAAGAAATGAATAATAAATAAGGTATATAAATTTTTCAAACTTTGCCTTCTATTGTATGAAAATAATAGAAAATATAATTATACTTTTTTTGGCTAAAAATTATCATTATGTACCATGATTTGAAATATGATCTCCTTTTAAGAAAATTTTGATTTTATGTTGATATAAAAAAGCGTATTTCATAAAATACGTTCTTCTCTGTCGGAAAATAAATCTAATGTAAAACAGATCCGTAATTATATATTATACATTTTCATTCTGACCTTAAAACTATAAGTAATAAAATAATATATCTTTTTTTTATTGAAAAATCATAAAAAAGACATAACTGTTATCAGCAGCCTGTTTAAAGACAAAATACATATATATTTCTATGACATGTCACAATGGTTTGTTATTGTTCGCGTTTCCGTGACGTTTTCCTTGATCTCTAACACCTGTTTGTTCTTTTTCGACCAGAATAGATCCACATGTACTTCTATGCGATACAATTCTTCGTGTAGAATTTTAAACTTCGTGTTTGCTGTTTTATTTTAAGGAAGGAAAATAGATATAAACATTAATTATGTTACTTCTTATATGAACCATAATTAAAACTGGCAGTAAATATGTACAAATATTATTCCGTAACATCAGAATTGAATTTAGGAGGAAATATTTTTTACGATAAGACATTTAAGATTTAAATATTACTTATTTAATTTTTGCCTAACAAGAATGAGATCTATAGTTAACTACTAATCACTTAATAATTCTACAAAATTGTGTTTGAGAGATAATTTGGTCAAAGCCCAGTTAAAAAAACTTACGCCAAAAATTACATTTAAATTTGGTTGAGTTTTAATTTACCCCAAGTAAATTTGTGGAATCAAAACGCCTACTCTATGATTCAAATCACTTGATTACAACTTCTTAGTTTAATTTCAGAATTTTCAAGAATATGAATTTGCTGTCTTCGCTTATAAATGGCACAAAGCCAACAAAACTAAGCAGTAATAGTCAAAATAGCTCTCATAGTAAAAGACACCCAACCTGGGCCATAACCAGCTTTAATGGTAGAGGTAAACCTTAGTTTCCTATATGAGCATTGTTTTTCAGATACAAGAAAAGCACCTAAGCAGAACCATCAACAGTCTTTAATCTAGTATGATAGTTTCTTCGTATGAAATAGTCAAAATCTTGCTGGGATAGAACCCATAGTGGTAAATCGAGTCATTCCTTAATAAAATTACACATATACATATACAATTCACAAAATTATCAGACAATAATCTCATATAGTGATGAAATTTGTTTGATTTGTATACAAGATCAAAATACATTTCACATTGTCAACACAAGGTGTAATATTCTCACGAATGACGTAGTCACAAGTGAAAATATTGCAGCTGGTGTTCACAAGTGAAATATATTTTGATCTTGCAAACAAAACAAACATATTTTCTATTTATTTCATGCTTTTTAGGGGCTTGTACTGATTTTTACTGCATAACGTCATGCGTTCTAAATCATGATGTCATCAAATTATGATGTCAAATTGATCTTGTTGAAAAAAATTTCTGTAAATTCTTTACAAATTTTGTAACATTTTAAAAATGATATGTGCATATAGATATTCATGTGCATGCTTCTCGTAATCAAGCACACTTTACTGACAATAGAGCGTATTTCTGACAATATTTCCACTTATCTAAGATATATTTTTTTCATCTGCAGTCATATATAAAATTATATAGTTTGGCTGCTGTGAAAGATATATTTTATAATTTCACTGTGACATCAAAAATATAATTTCACTATGCCCTGGAAAGCATGTAATAAATGACAGTAAACTTATAAGATAATAAACATACTCTATAAAAGGAGGAATGACAATGATTATTATGCTAAAAAGCAAGATGGGCATTTAATACGATAATATGATAGGACACACAACATCAAAATATAAGTAAGGTTTTCACGGATTATAAAAACACTGTTAGACTGTTAGAATTTCTGTTTGCCTGAAAAACAAGCAAATTGTGATATAAAGAGAAGTTTAATTATTTGCATGCACATTAAAAAACAGAAAAAGTCAAAATGACCAACGGTTATTGGTGAACAAAGTGAAGCATGTGTCAATTACAACATTTATCAAAAAAAGCCCAAATTTATTTGTTTGAATAGTCAGTAAACATGTAAAGCCACTCTTAAAAACATTGATTTAATAAAATCATTAAAAAACTTAACAAATTTACACACAATTATGTCGAACATAATTACTTCACAAAAGGTGTACATGTACACTGTACCTGATGACATAGAAAAAACTTCATTCAGAAAAACTTTGCATCATGGAATACCTTTAATCACACACAAACACACATTTATTTCCCCAATGCTATCATGCTTTGGCCATGGATACATTTGTGTGTGGAATAAGAAACCAAACAGTAGCTGTTTTACTATAAAATTTATTTCTTACTTAAAGTATAAAAAAAAAGAATACAATCAGAATGGCACACAAAAAAGGAAAATGTATAAACACTTCTAAATTTGGTAAAAAACTGACAATACTTTATAAGAGTGACTTTACAATGTTATCTATATCCAGCAAATCAGCAGTACATATATGACAGGTACATCAATCATAAAAAAATGGAAAACAATAAGTTCATCAATCATAAAAAATTGGAAAAAAAAAGTTGCAAATGATACAAGTTAACAATCCTCTTCCAAAAGATATAAGTATAACAATTAGAAAGAAAGCCACCCAAAAATATTCAGAAAACTTTACATATAAATGCATTTTGAAAAACACACTAAATATCATCACTGTGTATATTATATAAATGTGATAACATAATCCAATATGTAAAATAAAATGGGTACATTTCCCAATATATATTTAGCTGTTTAACCAAAAATCATTTACTACAAATCCCTCCCTCTAAATTTCAATTAACCAATCAAAATCACCATTATGGTTAAGAGCCCTCATTTGACACTCCCTAAATTTAAACTGACCAATCAGATAACTTAAAGTTTTGACTGACACATGCCTCACTAATAATGTATATATCCATGCTAGATGACTGAGCTTACTTTGTACGAAAAGTTCAATGACAGTTGTGGCAGTTCCATGCTCGTTTCTGGCCTCACACTTGAAGTAACCTTCATCGTCAATGGTTACGTTGTTGATTGTGAGGGTCACAGTTTCTCTGTGATGTTCCGTAATGAATCTTATATCATCAGGCAATGATTCATCATTCTAGAATACAGTATTTAAATATTCAAGTAACTCCATTTAAACCAATGAATCTACTGGTAACTAAGGCTTAAAGTCCTTGTCATAAAAACATTAACAAAATATATTTGTTGAAAAATTATATATTCCAATCAAGATTAGTTTTTAAAGACTAAATTTTGGTCCATAGTTATGTAAAAATGATTAATAATATGTTAATAGTGTCCTGGCATAAAGAAATCTCTATAAAAATTTCAAACGTAATGCCGTGGGGGGCAAGTTATTTTTAATGTCGGCAAATATTGTATAAAAACAAACAAACAAACATACCATGAACCATGTGATTTCTGGAGCTGGTTTGCCTATAACCTCACATGTTAACGTGATGCTGGTACCTTCTTGTACATCTACGTGCTTCTGGAGGGTCGTTGTGAAACGGGGAGCCGCGAAATCTCCTTCACTAATCTCTTCTTCGGGTTTACGAGGGGCGATGGTCTCTTCTGAGATTTCTTTTTGAGGCAATTCTGGAAAAATAAAAGAACCTTACTGAGTTTATTTTCAACATCTAGTATTATATTAAGCATACATATCGAAAACCACAATTACTGAAGACATTCCTGCCAAACTGGCCTTTGAACAAACCTACCATAATTGCAATATCTTCTCTTTCACTCATTATATTCTATAATGTTTCATGAATTTTATAGTAAAATGTATGGTTTTTTTTTAAAGAAATAGAGTAAAACAAACTTTACTTTTCAAAAGTAATTTTTTGTGATATTTATTCTCAACTTTCCATACAGAAATGCTGTTGCAAACAATGATTACTGATATGCAAAAAACAGCTTCTGATAGGGAATATTTGATGGAAAAAGAATATAAGAATGCACTTAGACTTGCTTGTGATAGAGCTAGTGATACAGTATTATATAATACCTTTCTCTTCAATAGGTATCTCCAATGTCTCTTTTACTGTTGTAGTTTCCTTAACACTGACTTCTTCATCTGTTGTCTCTTCTAAAGCTAAATAGTAATAATAGTAACAAAAAATCAATAACATTTTATTATATTTAGAATAAAAGTAAAACTCATCTTTCAAATTTCATGAAGTTTAAGAAAAAAATCACTTTACAATTAATCTATATAATGAACTTGAAAATAACTTCTTTAAATCTCATAATTTTTTTTCACTATGCTATGACATTTGGTGGTCAGAGAGTACTTGTGTTGGAAAAAATGGGCACAAAACATGTACATGTATAGTGCAAGGTTTAGAACAAAACTGACATGCATTTTATATACGAGTATAATAATACAGTGTGTACTAGCCTGCAAATGAAAAAAACCCAAAAAAAACCACAAATGTAACCACTTTTCTCATAACAAACGTTCAAATTATTAAAATTAAAATAATATTCTATATCAAGTTAAGAGAACTAAATGTCTATTTCAAGTGCAGTGTCCAAAAAGTCTGATAAAATTCTGATCTCTTCTATGAATTAAAGCCATGTTTTGAGATATGCCTCAAATGAAAGTTAAATTGCGAGCATCAAGAGCATCAACAAAAAGTATATATCATTCAGAAATAATTGAATAGTTTATATTATGTATTTTTATTTCAAGCTATGGAAATTGAAGAAATTGTAGAAAATTATTATGACTTACCAATAACAGTGAGGTAACATATGGAAGTAATTGTACCAACAGTGTTTGTAACAACGACTTTATATTCTCCTTCATCTTCAAGGAAAGTCTCTGGAATGATAATCTTACTAAACTCTTTTTCAATAGTTACAATAAAGTCCTCACTCTCCTTCAATGGCTGATTGTCTATAAACCAAACCACTTCTGGAGCTGGGTGTGCTTTAAATTCCACAGTGAATTCAACTTTTTCACCTTCCATCACTGTTATATCTGTAAGAGTTTTAGTGAACTTTGGTGCAAATTCAATTACTTCCACAGTCTTTGTAATTGTTTCCTCAACAGTAGTTTTGTCTGTCACTGTCAATGTTATTTCTTCTGGCTCTTGTGGCTTTTCTTCTTCTACAGGAAATTCAATAGACACAGTTTCCGAGGTGGTTTCTTTCACTGTTATATCTACAGGTGATTCTGGCTTCTCTGTAACCTGTAAAACTGTTTCCTCCGGCTTTTCTTCTGGTGCCTCATCGCCTGGTTTTATAACAAGAGACACTTTTTCGGTTGTCACAGTGGTTTCTTTCACAGTGTCGTCAGCAGGAATCTCTACAGATATTTCTTCTGTAACTGTTTGCTGTTCTATAACCTCTGTTATTGTGGTCTTCTCTTCAATATCTACTGAGGTTGTCTTAGGTTGTATGGTAAGATCTATTTTTTCAGAAGTTGATGTTGTAGGTGTCATTTCAAAACTCACTGTGGTTCTCTCAACTGGTTTGTCCTTTACATCCAAATCCTCTGGTTTATCTTCAGTTGGAATTTCAACCAATACCTTCTCAGATTCAGATACCTTTTCCGATGTTTTTTCTGTAACAGACACATCTAATGGAGTTTCAACTTCAATTTCCCTTGTAACAGTCTTCTTTTCAATTGTATCAGTTGTTGTAATTTTTACTTCTTCATCAATATTAAAAGAAACACTCTCTGGCTTTTCTTCTCTCGGAATTTCCAAAGATACTTTTTCAGTAGTTGTTTCTTTTAAAGTTATATCCGATGGAATTTCAATTTCGATTTCCTCTGTGACAGTCTTCTTCTTAATTGTTTCAGTGGTTGTAGTTTTGTCTTCTTCATCAATTGTAAAAGAAACAGATTCTGGCTTTTCTTCTCTGGGAATTTCAACTGAGATACTTTCAGTTTTTGTTTCTTCAACAGATAAATCTGATGGTATTTCAACTTCAATTTCTTCTGTAAAAGTCTTCTTTTCAACTACATCAGTTGTTGTTGCTGTGTCTTCTTGGTCAATTGTAAATGAAACAATTTCTGGTTGTTCTGGCATTATTTCGTGACTCAGTTCTTCCTTTTCCTTTTTTGTTTCATCAATTTCAATCTCCATTGAAATAGGCTGTGGTTTCTCTTCCACAGAAATTTCAACCCCTGAAACTTCTGTTACTTCAGGTTGTGTTTTTTCCTTTGGAATTTCAGTAAACTTCACTGCTGGTAAAGTCTCATCAGATATAACTTCTGTAGAAGTAACCTCACTTATGTCAGGTTTTACAGATATTGTATCTTCAATTTTCTCTTCAGATTTTTCATAAACAACTTCAACATCTTTATCTTCTTTCGTCTCTTCAGGTTTACTTTCTTGAATTTCTTTAGTTTGGACAGGAATAAGTTGCCCTTTCGCAGCTTGTTCCAAAATATCCTTCGTTATTTCATCAGCAATATGCTGGATGGTTTCCTCAACAATATCTTGTATTGGTATTTCGGTTACCTCCTCATCTGATATCTGTACTTCAGAGGGTGATTCTTTCTCAATAATTAATCTCTCACTTAGCATTTCAGGCACAATTTTGTCTGGTTTTTCTTCTGATTCCTTTGGCAATTCAGAAATAACATCCTCTGTTGTTTCAACCTCTGCCTCTGACACCTTTGTTTCAGATTTTATTGACACAGATGCAGATTCAAGGATATCCTTTGAAACATCTTCTGCATATCTATCAATGCTTTCAGAAGTAATCTCACGTGTTTCTTCAGTTTCTTTTTCTTCAACAGTTACATCAACTGTACTAATTTCTTCAGGTTTTACTTTTTCCTGTTGTGTCAAATCTCCAGTTATCTCTTCAGAGGCAGTTTCTTTAACTTCCAATGGAATTTCAACAGCTTGAGAAACAGGTACTGTCACCTCTTCCTCTTTCACATCTGTAATAGGTAATAAAGAAACGGTTGCACTGTCAGTAACGGTTGGAATTTTTTCTTCAACAGGTAAAATTGATGATTTCTCTTCTGCAATTTCTTCAATTTGAGGTTGAGCTTCTTCTATCTCAACAAACTTTGTTTCGGATGGAAGTTTGTCCTCAGCCATAAACGTTGCACTTGTTATTGTAACAGTTTCTTCCTGGGCAGCTTCAGTATCTGTTTCTGACAAAACTTCAACTTCTATCTGTCCAGTTTCAAAATCACCTTCGGTAGTTTTACTAATTTCTTCAGGAGTTTTCAAGATTGACTCTTTAACATCAGTTTCAACCATTTCAACAACTTCTTCAGTCTCTGTAGAAGGTAAACCTTTAATTTGAAGTATAATTTCATCAGGTAATCCTTCTTTAGATTCTGCTGGTATTACACTTGAAGAAATGATATTTTTCTGAACATCAGGAACCTCATCAACTGAAGGCACAACTTCTATAGTTTCTTTTATTGGAACAATGTCTGCCTTATCATCCTCACTTTCAACATCAGCTTCAGTTGGTTGTTCTGGCAGTTTTTGAACAGTTTCCCTAGTTTCAATTACAGTTTCAACAACTGATCTGTCAGTCTCTGTTTCAAATATGTCAGATACATCAGGTTTGCTTGCTGTTTCTTCAACAACTGTTGTTTCAGTTGGTATTTTATTATCCTTAGTTATTGTGTCTTTTAGTATTTCAACAATTTCCTCTGACGGTTTTTCTATCTCTTTTACTGGTAAATCTTCATCAATCTCTTCTGGCTTAATTTGAATCTCAATATCAGAAACATCCGAAGGAGCAATCTCTAGGGAGACTGCAGTTTGTGTTGTGGCTGTAATTTCCTTTTCAAATGAGGAAAGAGTTACTGTTTTTTCTATTTCGCTTATTTCAGGTCTCTGAATATCTACCTCAACAGCTGATACATTAGACAGCTGACCAATTTCTACACCAGTACTTTCAGTTGATTCAACTATGATCTGTTCTGTTGATTTATGTTCTTCCACCTCTGATAATTCAATTGTCTCTGGTACTTTATCTTCAACAATATGTTCTTTAGTTACAAATGTAACAATTTCAGAACTTATCTTTTCTTTAATGCTAATAGTTAATTCTTGTGGCTGAACATCAGAAACAAGTTCAATTTCAGATATTTCTGTTATATCAGGCTTTTCAACTATCAGTTCTACTTCTGAAACTTCTGTTGGTTTCTCTTCTTTCCTTAAGTCTGGTGTTTCAGACAAATCAACTATTTCCAATGCTGATTCTGAGGCTTCTTCTGGTATTTCAGAAACATCTGCTGGGCTTATTTCTTGTAACTTTATTTCAGAAATAGTGTCAGGGCCAATTTTGACAGATTCTTTAATTTCAGGAGTAACCTTTTCTAAAGGTTGCTCTAAATCCAATTCTACACTTATTTCATGCTGTGAATCTTCAGAAACAGAAACTTCTTCAGGACTTATGTCAGAGGGCAATTCCTTTTCAATAGTTACAGTTTCTTTGTGTGATTCAATTATTTCTTCTTTTGGTGCTTTGGTTTCAGCATCAAATATTGTTGTAACCGACTCCTGTCCTTTCTTTAACTCCTCTGTGTCAGTTTTTGATGGTTTTTCCTTTTGAACTTTGATTGTTTGTCTAACCTCTTCAATAATATCTTCTTTAGGTACTTCAATTTCCTGTTCAATTTCTACAGCAAATGAAGCATCTTCCTTTTGTTCCTCCTCTGAGACTTTTGTTGGCATTTGTTCTTCCATCTCAACTTCTTTAATAGGAACTTCTGTTTCAGATTCCTTTGGAGCAACAATTTGAATATCACTTGTGATTTTCTCAACTTCAGTCAATCCTAAATCTTGTTCACTGACATCAGATATAGCTGGTACCTGTCTTTCTACTGTGATCACTTCCCTTGATAGCTCTATTGTCTCTTCAAAGGGTTTTTCTATTTCAATTGAGCTTTCAACAGGCTGAACCACACCTGTTTCAATTTCAGTTTCCTCTGATGTCACTTCAGATGGTTTTTCATAGTCAACAATGATTGTTTTTCTGATTTCTTCAACAGTCTCTTCCCTTGGTACCTCAGTTTCTGTTTCAATTATTTCAGCTTCAGTCTCTACCGCAGTGACCTCAGAAACATCTTCAATAACCTCACTTTGCTGTTTTTCTTCCGATGTTATATCTGGCACTTCAGTGTCAATTTCAATTTCCCTTGAAGTTTCATACTCATATTCTGGTACTGTTTCAACAAATTTGATATCTTCTGTAGTTTCTGTTTCAGGAGCAGTAGATGGAATTTCCTTTTCAACCTGAATTGTTTCTCGTATTTCTTCTACTATTTCTTCAAACGGTTTTTCACTTTCTACAGCTTCTGAAACATCAACTGATTCAGAAACAGTAACATCTCCTGGAGTTTCCATTACTTCAAAAGGTGTCACTTTTGCAACTTCCACAAAATGACTTGTTTCTTCAGTTCTATCAGATGGCTTAGTTATTTCAATATCTGTTGTTATATCTTCAGTTTTTTCAATAATTTCAATTTCTGTCTCAGGTACTTCTGACCGCCTTTGGGTGATTTGTATTGTTTCTGTTGTGATTTCAACAGTTTCTTCAACTGGCTTCATTACTTCAACTTCCTGAATAGGAAGTCTTTCTTCAGGGACAGTCTCCATAATTTCCTCCGCAGCAGATTCAGTATCAGTTGAGATAATTTCTGTCTCCATTTGATCTTCTGTTGGTTTTACTTCAATTGTTTCAGTTTGAAGTCCTGGTGTTTCCAAAACCTGTTCTTGCTCTTTTGGGACTTCTGTAATTTTCAACTGTTCTCTTTCCTGTATAATAACCTCATCTATTGGTCCTTCTACATCCATTAACTCAACTACATGTTCAGTAACTTCTACGGTTTCTCTTTTCATTTCTAAGGTTTCCTTAATTGTAGCTTCTACCTGAGGCTGGGTAGTGATATCTAACACAATTTCTTGTAAATCAGTCTTTGGTTTTTGGTCAATCTGAATTTCCTCTTTAAATGAAGGAGTCTCTTCAACAATCTCAGTAGTTTCTTTTATTATTTCTGTGACAGTAGTTTCTTTCTTACTGGGTTTTAAATCAAAGCCAATCTCAACAGTTTCTGGTTTCGAATCAATTTCAATTTCTTCTTTGAACATAGGTGTTACTTCCTGAACTTCAATTTCATCTTTTTCTGCTGAAATAATTTCTATAGTTTCTTTTTCAGTTATTTCTGTTTTCTTTTCAGGTCTGACTTCTATCTCAATCTCAACTGGCATCTTTTCGTCATCTACAGGAATGACTTCTGTTACAACATGGTGTTCTGTTACTGCAGGGGCTTTATGATCAACTTCATCAACATTTACAGTCTCTTTGTATGTCTCTATAATTTGTTTTGGTACCGTTATTTCCATCTCAACAACACTTTGTCTTTGTTTAGGAGCAATATCAATAGTCTCTTTATGAGAAGTTTCCTCTTTAATCTCTTCAGTGTCAGGTCTGGTTTCTAATTCAATAGATTCTCTATGAATTTCTGTAACCTCAGTTTTCAAAGGGGATACTTTGCTAGTTTCAAATGTAATTACAGAAGTTTTCCTTTCTGGTTTCATTTCAATGTCTACTTCTTCTGAAAAAACTGTTTTTGGCTTACTATCAAACTCAATTTCTTCAATAACATCTTTCTTTGGTTTGATCTCCACTGTAACTTCTTCTTTGACATCTTTTGGCTTAATGTCAATAACAAGTTCTTCTTTTGCTGATTCATCTTCTGGTTTGACTTCAAATGTTTCTTTAAACAATGTTTCAGTAACATCTACTGGTGCTTCAGTTTCAACTTCTAGTTGACTTTCGTCTTTAATGGTATCTCTATAAACAGTTTCAGTTAAGTCAACAGGTGCAGCAACTTCTGGCTGTTTAGTTACCTCAATAGTTTCTGACTGAGTAACTTCTGTTACATCTATTGGGGCCTCAACTTCTTTTTCATGAATAGTCTCTTCTTCAGATGAAAGAACTTCCCCTGCTGTAAAGTGGTTATATAACATAATGATTCAAAAATATATAGGTGAATTGATGAATAAAAAAGTTAGGTAAAAAGTGAAAAATCAGTGATAAAGGACTGAAATGAATGTGTGTGGACTGTGTTTTAGTGCAAGATATTTCTATATATAGTTTTGTTTATCTATTCCTGCTTATAGTGTAGGGAAAATCAATGATAAATAAGCCCATCACTATGACACTTTCATAAGAAATTCTGAGCCAAGAATTAACAATAAAAGCCTCGGATGCTCCACTGAATCTGCATATTTGGTAACATATCTTATTCCATATCGGTCAAAAGATAAAAGCTGTAAGAGCAAAAGTGTAAAAATCTACTTTAGCACCAATAAACTAAACCCAGTGACACCATACTCCATCCAAAGTTAGAGGACCACCACAGATATCTACCTACTAAATATGAGTCATCAGGCAATAAATAACTTAAGGCTGAATAAGCAAAAGGGTGAAATCTATTTTATCAGTTTAGTAACCTTGAACTTGCACCAAGAGACCACTTTCTCCCCTTCAAGTGATAGGTCTTACCAGGATAATTAACTAACACGCATAAGACATAATAAAGGAAGTCAGAATGTATCTATTTTCAAAATGGGTGACCTTATCTTAGTGACAACTACTCCATCAAAAGTACCAGGACCACTTAAGGGATCTGCCTACTAAACATGAAAAACACCAATCAATAAACAGATTATAAATTATATAAGCAAATGTGTAACTAGTATTTAGAAGTGATGATCTTGACCCAGAGGACCACTTAACTTGTAACCACCAAAAGGTATGTTCGGATACATCTGTTAATAAATGAAGGCTGAATAAGTGTTACAAGCATTACTTAGTAAGCACCGCAAGTGGTCTAATGTACGTCTGTGTAAAACAGTTTTTATAAATTAACTTTTTTGTATATAAGTTTTTCAGGATGGAGGCCCTTGTCTTACAACTTTGCATTTGTTATGATAATCAAGTGTTTATACTTTTCATAGTTCTGAAATCATTCTACCTATTTAGCAATTTGACAAAAATTCTCAGAGTTTAAAAGGTGTATAACTAATTAAGCTCTCAGAATAATATCTGGTGTCTAACAATTGTGCCTAGTCTTGACAAGCAAGTGTTTCAAATTTCATTTTGATACCTATCATAGTTCTTTATCACCGTGTTATGTGTTAATCAATTATTTCAATATTTCTTTCCTCAGTTATTCTAAACACAAGAGTGTTAAGGACGGACGGACAAGAAAGTAACTACTAATGTATATGCACTTCCTATGGCGATCATAAAAATGATGACTGTTTTGTTTGATAATTTCTCCTTAATTAAAATTTCTCCTTAATTAAAACATTAACACTGGAAATCTGCTCTTTAACTCTTGTGTTTGAAAGGAGTATCAACCACTTACCTTTTCCTATTGAGGCTATGCATAACAAGTTCTTGGGCAGTGTTTCACCAATGATACCTTTTGATTTCAGTTCATGGAGATATATTTTACAATGACAGAGACAATCAAGAGTCCAAGAGAATAAAATCAATCGTGCTGACACTTTTATGCATACAAACCTGAATTGTTTTGAACAATTTCTACTTGTTTAAATAAAGGGAAAATGTAAAGGACATACACAGAGAAAAATGTATATCGAAATAAAAATGGGTAAAATAGTGCTAATCTGTAACTGTGCTATCTTAGATCTCGTAAGAGGTGAAAATGGGGGGAATAGTTTGAATATACATATCTGCAACAAGGTCTGGAAGTGTGTCTGTGCGTATGTGAAGTGGTTGCAAGTGAGAAAAGGAAGAATATATGGGATTGAAATGCAAGCTTAAAATTGTAATACTGTACACAAGACATCCCAAAAATATAGGAAGATATTTCTAATGTCTTTATATATTCTTTTTTTCCCATAAATTGAATATGAAAGTTTGTGTAAACTAAATATTTTTATTGCGAAAAAGCCATTTTTAATTCATACCTTAAACATACTAAATAATGACTAAGTATCAAAACATGTTTAATAGTCTTTTATATTGATTTTCATTTTAAAATCCAAATCTTATTTGTGCACAGTATTGCAACTTTAAGAAATGTGAAACATTTGGTTTACAGAATATAACAAACACGAAGGTTAACAAATCAGCTATTTTAAGGTAGTATATGTTTCAAGTTACACTTAAAGAAAAAAAGCAACATATTTTTTTACCATACTGAACAATCTTTGAAATTCCATTTTTCATTATTGTATAGTCCAATAAGATCTTTCATTAGAAACAGACAAATGACACCAACACCTCCACCCCCTAAAATATTGGCCCTTTAAAGAAAACTTTGAACAGGGAACTCTATTGAATATTAAAAAATATAGAAAAGAAGCTTTTCTATTACTTTGATGTTTATGTTTAACATTTTTTACCACTGTTAAGTACTTTGTAATCAATTTTCAAATGGGTGCTGCTAAGGAAACATATACTACCTTATAGCTGATCATGCATTCTTCAAATGTTTTGATATATGAAAACTATTTTAATAATTTACAACAAATAGAAATCTATATAAGATAAATTATTTAAACCTTATTAATATATTGTCTTACATTCAAATAACGTGTTAACACAAATAAAAAATAAACAGTACATATTAAATTAAGAAGTAGTCAGATGCAAAAAATGCAATATGTCATTTTTCTTTATGAACAAGTTAAAAACTATGTTGTTGGATTTTGTACAATAAGTCACCTTTCTGTTTCACAAATTTTTTTTTTTACATAAACCATACTTAATGACTTCATACTTCCTAATTCTCGTTTATTTATATTCTGGTTTGCAATTAAGTAACTGATAAATATTGAAAAACACATATTGCATATAATATTGCATAACTGATTACTTCTAATAAACCAAACAGTCAACTTACGCAATACAGTGACATATGCCGAAGTTGTTGCTGTCCCATATTCATTGGTTGCTTCAACCCAATATTCAGCTTCATCATCAAGGAAAATTTCTTTCATAAACAAGACACATCTTCCTTCCTTGTAGGTTATCTGAATGTCTTCAGAAGGAGACAGCTGCTCGTCATCAGCAAACCATGTCACTTCGGGAGCTGGGTTACCCCTCACAACAGCTTCCATTGTCAGATCACTTCCTTCTGGAATGGTTTCATCCTTTAGTGGAGTAATAAATATAGGTCTTTCAAGCTGAATTTCAGAGACAGAAATTTCTCCGGTTTCTTCCAAAATTTCATGAGTAATTTCTTCATCATCTTCTCCTTCATGCATACCAAATGTTATTGTGACAACATCATGTTCTGGCTCAACAAGCTCTAATTCTGTTTTGTAAGTTTCAGGTTGGTCTTTATCTTTTGGGGTTTTTTCTACAGTAATTTCTTCTCTGAACGTTTCAGCTGGTTCTTGGGTATCTTCAGATTCAAACTGTTCAACAGTGTCTTGTTTTGTTGTGAAAGTCTCAACAGAAACTTCACTGACTTTGCTCGTTTCTGGTTTTTCTTCTGTAACATCTACACTTTCTGGTTGCTCAACACCTTCATCCAAAAGTTCTATTTTATATTCTTCTGGTTTCCTTTCGTCAGGCTTACCAACATCAACCACAATTTCGGAGATGGTTGTTGTTTCAGCAACAGTTTCAGTTACTTCAGAAACCTCAGGTTTGTCTATTGCTTCTGTGAGAATGTCAACTTTGAACTCTTCTGGCTTCTGTTCCTGAGGCTTACCAACTTCAACCTCGATTTCAGAGAAGGTTGTTGTTTCGGCTGGAGCTTCAGTTACTTCTGTGACCTCAGGTTTGTCTGTTGTTTCTGTGAGAATTTCAACTTTGAACTCTTCTGGCTTCTGTTCCTGAGGTTTACCAACTACTACTTCAATTTCAGAGAAGGTTGTTGTTTCAGCTGGAGCTTCAGTTACTTCTGTGACCTCAGGTTTGTCTGTTGTTTCTGTGAGTATTTCAACTTTGAATTCTTCTGGCTTTTGTTCCTGAGGCTTAGCAACATCAATCTCGATTTGAGAGACGGTTGTTGTTTCAGATGGAGCTTCAGTTACTTCTGTGACCTCAGGTTTGTCTGTTGTTTCTGTGAGTATTTCAACTTTGAACTCTTCTGGCTTTTGTTCCTGAGGCTTAGCAACATCAACCTCGATTTGAGAGATGGTTGTTGTTTCAGATGGAGCTTCAGTTACTTCTGTGACCTCAGGTTTGTCTGTTGTTTCTGTCAGAATTTCAACTTTGAATTCTTCTGGCTTCTGTTCCTGAGGCTTACCAACTACTACTTCAATTTCAGAGAAGGTTGTTGTTTCAGATGGAGCTTCAGTTACTTCTGTGACCTCAGGTTTGTCTGTTGTTTCTGTGAGAATTTCAACTTTGAATTCTTCTGGCTTCTGTTCCTGAGTCTTACCAACAACTACTTCAATTTCAGAGAAGGTTGTTGTTTCAGCTGGAGCTTCAGTTACTTCTGTGACCTCAGGTTTATCTGTTGTTTCTGTGAGTATTTCAACTTTGAACTCTTCTGGCTTTTGTTCCTGAGGCTTAGCAACATCAAGCTCTATTTGAGAGACGGTTGTTGTTTCAGATGGAGCTTCAGTTACTTCTGTGACCTCAGGTTTGTCTGTTGTTTCTGTCAGAATTTCAACTTTGAATTCTTCTGGCTTCTGTTCCTGCGACTTACCAACTACTACTTCAATTTCAGAGAAGGTTGTTGTTTCAGCTGGAGCTTCAGTTACTTCTGTGACCTCAGGTTTCTCTGTTGTTTCTGTGAGTATTTCAACTTTGAACTCTTCTGGCTTTTGTTCCTGAGGCTTAGCAACATCAACCTCGATTTGAGACACGGTTGTTGTTTCAGCTGGAGCCTCAGTTACTTCTGTGACCTCAGGTTTGTCTGTTGTTTCTGTGAGAATTTCAACTTTGAATTCTTCTGGCTTCTGTTCCTGAGGTTTACCAACTACTACTTCAATTTCAGAGAAGGTTGTTGTTTCAGCTGGAGCTTCAGTTACTTCAGTGACCTCAGGTTTGTCTATTGTTTCTTTTAGTATTTCAACTTTAAACTCTTCTGGCTTTTGTTCCTGAGGCTTAGCAACATCAACCTCGATTTGAGAGACGGTTGTTGTTTCAGCTGGAGCTTCAGTTACTTCTGTGACCTCAGGTTTCTCTGTTGTTTCTGTGAGTATTTCAACTTTGAACTCTTCTGGCTTCTGTTCCTGAGGCTTACCAACTTCAACCTTGATTTGGGAGACGGTTGTTGTTTCAGATGGAGCTTCAGTTACTTCTGTGACCTCAGGTTTGTCTGTTGTTTCTGTGAGAATTTCAACTTTGAATTCTTCTGGCTTCTGTTCCTGAGTCTTTCCAACAACTACTTCAATTTCAGAGAAGGTTGTTGTTTCAGCTGGAGCTTCACTTACTTCTGTGACCTCAGGTTTGTCTGTTGTTTCTGTGAGTATTTCAACTTTGAACTCTTCTGGCTTTTGTTCCTGAGGCTTAGCAACATCAACCTCGATTTGAGAGACGGTTGTTGTTTCAGCTGGAGCTTCAGTTACTTCTGTGACCTCAGGTTTCTCTGTTGTTTCTGTGAGTATTTCAACTTTGAACTCTTCTGGCTTCTGTTCCTGAGGCTTACCAACTTCAACCTCGATTTGGGAGACGGTTGTTGTTTCAGATGGAACTTCAGTTACTTCTGTGACCTCAGGTTTGTCTGTTGTTTCTGTGAGAATTTCAACTTTGAATTCTTCTGGCTTCTGTTCCTGAGTCTTTCCAACAACTACTTCAATTTCAGAGAAGGTTGTTGTTTCAGCTGGAGCTTCACTTACTTCTGTTACCTCAGGTTTGTCTGTTGTTTCTGTGAGTATTTCAACTTTGAACTCTTCTGGCTTTTGTTCCTGAGGCTTACCAACTTCAACCTCGATTTGAGAGAAAGTTGTTGTTTCAGATGGAGCTTCAGTTACTTCTGTGACCTCAGGTTTGTCTGTTGTTTCTGTGAGAATTTCAACTTTGAATTCTTCTGGCTTCTGTTCCTGAGGTTTACCAACTACTACTTCAATTTCAGAGAAGGTTGTTGTTTCAGCTGGAGCTTCAGTTACTTCAGTGACCTCAGGTTTGTCTGTTGTTTCTGAGATTATTTCAACTTTAAACTCTTCTGGCTTTTGTTCCTGAGGCTTAGCAACATCAACCTCGATTTGAGAGACGGTTGTTGTTTCAGCTGGAGCTTCAGTTACTTCTGTGACCTCAGGTTTGTCTGTTGTTTCTGTGAGTATTTCAACTTTGAACTCTTCTGGCTTTTGTTCCTGAGGTTTGGCAACTTCTACCTCGATTTCAGAGAAGGTTGTTGTTTCCGCTGGAGCTTCAGTTACTTCTGTGATCTCAGGTTTTTCGGTTGTTTCTGTAAGAATGTCAATTTTGAATTCTTCTGGCTTCTGTTCCTTGGGCTTAGCAACTTCTATCTCAATTTGAGAGAAGGATGTTGTTTCAGCAGGAGCTTCACTTACTTCTATGACCTCAGGTTTGTCTGTTGTTTCTGTGAGAATTTCAACTTTGAATTCTTCTGGTTTCTTTTCATCTGGCTTTGCAACATCTGTGGTTATTTCAGAAACCGTTGTAGTCTCTGCAAGAGTTTCAGTGACTTCTGTAGTTTCAGGCTTTTCTGTGGTTTCTGTGAGAATTTCAACTTTAAATTGTTCTGGTTTCCTTTCTTCAGGCTTTGAAACATCAATCTCAATTTCTGAGACAGCTGTTGTTTCAGTAATCGCTTCAGTTACTTCTGTGATCTCAGGTTTGTCTGTTGTTTCTGTGAGAATTTCAACTTTGAATTCTTCTGGTTTCTTTTTATCTGGCTTTGCAACATCTATGGTTATTTCAGAAACTGTCGTAGTCTCTGCAAGAGTTTCAGTGACTTCTGTAGTTTCAGGCTTTTCTGCGGTTTCTGTGAGAATTTCAACTTTAAATTGTTCTGGTTTCCTTTCTTCAGGCTTTGTTACATCAATCTCAACTTCCGAGACAGATGTTGTTTCAGAAATAGCTTCTGTTACTTCTGTAACCTGGGGTTTGTCAGTTGTTTCAGAGAGGATTTCAACCTTGAATTCTTCAGACTGTTTTTCTGATGGCTGTTCTACTTCAATTTGAACTTCAGAAATAGTAGTTGTCTCCGATGGCATCTCAGTAACTTCTACAACTTCTGGTTTGTCAACAGCTTCAGTAATTATTTCAACCTGAAACTCTCCTGGTTTTTCTTTTTCAATTTCAACAACTTCTGGGATAACCTCAGTTATCTTAGTGTTCATGGTCGTGGTTTCTGAAACTTCTATAACATCTTGTGGTTGCTGTTCTTCAACAGCAATGTTTATTTTAGATTCATGAGGTTGCTCATCTGCTGTTCCTATTTCAAGCTGAATTGTTGTTGATTTTGATTCATCTGAAACAGGCTCAACAAATTCTGTAACCTCTGGTTGCTCCAAAAAGTCAGTAATGATTTCAGTTTTGTACTCTGGCTTTTCTGTTTCTGGTCTTTCAAGTTCAGACTTTTCAACAAATAAGTCTCCTTCTTCTGGTTTGATCTTAATCTCTTCATGCAGAACGTGTTCTGGTTTACCTTCTTCAGGCATTTCTTCTATTTTGAATTCAGTAACCTCTTCAGTGGGTACTTTAACAACCTGTAATTTATCAATAATGTAATTTAGATACAAAATAACACTCTATTACTTAAAGGTCTTTATGAAAAAGAAAATATACTTGTAAATATAAATTTAGGGCTGAGACAAAAAATCATCCACCCAAACTTAAACAAAAGCACCGCAAAGACGAGGCAATATACACCCAAATGTAAATTTTTTTTAGTAATAAAAACTAATTACAGGAGAGAAATGGTTTTATTTCGATTATATTATGATGTGTTTTTCCTAAACCTTAGCCTACATAAAGCAGGGCTGAGTAACCTGTAGAAATCTACAAATTGATGCTCATGCCAAATATAAAAAAAATCTTGGATTTGTAGTTTCACACTATAAGACTTAAATTTAAATATGTTTGTCTTTATAAGTTTATATAAATCATGTGACCCTCTATTGTTCTATTAACAGTTAGATGGCTGCCTATCCCTATTCGGTACCCTCTAAATTAACATTGCTTTTAGACAAGTCATGAAAAGTATCCTTGATTTTTAACTTATCCCAATGTCTAATGTATTCTTATTTCCTTACCATCAAAAAGAAGACACATTTAAATCATTTTATCTCAGCCTTATAATTGAAAGAGAACAATATAGAAAGCAAAATATAAACATTTTGTTTATAAAAAAATTGAAAAAAAAAAAAAATTAGCGAGAATTGCATACCTTCAATTCCTCTACAGGTTCAGCCTCCTCAGGCATTTCTTCAGAGAGATCAGAGATTTCCTCTTCAGGAAACTGGTCCTCATGGAGACTGGAACGCATTATCTCTTCACGACGCTGTTGAGTTTCCTCAATATCAGCTTCAAGATTATCTTTTACACCTGATGGGTATAAATAATAAATTAGTTAGGATTTTTGTGAATTGGTACTACATGACCAGATATTGCTGTATATGGAATGAATTTGATAAGCTACAATTTTGAAATATTATTTTACAACAATAAGAACCACAAGAGGGACATGGAAGGACAGGACTCCTAAAATATTGCTTTCATTCTACTTAATAAGCAATTTTGGAAAAAATGAAAAAGGGATATTACTCCAAAAATTTAGCTTTCAGATTAATCCCCTTGTCTAACAATTGTGGTATGTCATGATAATTTCAGAATCATGCATATTTTATTTAAACTGCATATTGTCATAATAAGCAAATATACTAAGTTTCATGTTGATATCTTTTAAAATGTTAAAATAATGGGCTACATTAAAGTTTTTGCACGACAACGACCTTATAGCGACCATGTAAGATTGACATTTTCTTAGAAACAGACCAGCTAAAAATCATACCAGAGAAGATTGCATGAATTCGGTCTTGCATCTCCTGCATTTCTTCTATCATCTGTCTACGAGCAGATGGTGCTTCAGTATCAGAGTCTATTCGCTGTCTAGGAGAACTTGTTTCTACAGATGACTGCACGGAGTCCGAGGCCTCCTCTGTGTCAGCAACATATTCGTAAGCTGTAAAAATAATACATGAGCCATATCAAGAATCATACTTTCAATAATCTTGTTCAGACACATATAAACAAAGAGTTGTGTGTGTTTTGTCTGGTAAAAAGGTATATCACAGAGTTTAGCCAGTGAACATTATACTAGTAAGGGAGATAATAAATAATTTCATCTGGGTTCGTTGTCACTGACTACTTATTGAAAAAATCTCCCTTACTTCCTTATATGCTAAGACACTGCCACTACAATAAATTTTGTAGCTGTTGATGCTTTTATCTTTGTCTTTTTTTCGAGGTGAAAGTGCTCACTGGTTGGGGACCATTTATACTTTTCAATAGTCAATAGTTTGATGTAGTAAACGTGCCAAAGATGTATACTACAGTGCTTTGCCTGCAAACTTGTATTTATATACTGAACTGTTGCAGACTTTTAATAATAAAAATTGGACCAATTTTATTCCTTGTAAAACTTGTCAAGCCCTCGCAAACAAACAAAAATGGTTTCAGGTTTAACAGCATGGCTCTTCTTGCCTGAATTGATTTATCCTTGGATTTCGATAGTATACAACAAGAACAGTTCCATTATTATAATATAAATTCATGGTAAATGTCATAACCAACAAAATCTAATAAATAGATGTACATGGCTCAGGTTAAAATGCCATTTTAGGTAACAAAAGGCATTAATTAAAAAAAAAAACTTTTTACAATTTCTGAAATATAAACTTACATTCAACTTCAAGAGTGGCTCTAGAAATAGCCTTTCCGCGCTCATTCACAGCTATACATCTGTATTCGCCTGCATCCTGTGGGAAAACCTCCACAATCAACAAGGTGCATTTTCCTGTCTCTGGCTCAAAGGTTATTCTAAAAAATAATAAATCATTGGTTGAACAGTTTAAAAGAAATGAGTCTTTAAAAGTTAGTTTCATTTAAAAAGAGTACTACAAAAAAGAAAAGGTATAGTTTTTAAAAAATCTCTGGTCAATCAAAACTGGTGCGAGTTTATATAAAATAATACTGCAATACAATTTAATTTATGTCTTTAGAACTTTAAGTTATTCTGAAAAACTCTAATAAACTTTACAGTGATTTAGGGGAAATAATATCTTAAAAACTTATTTCAAATGATATTTTTCCATTATAATCATAGACAGATTGACAAACCTGAAGTCTTGGTTCTCAGCAATGGGTTTCTCATCATGGAACCAAGAAATTTCTGGTATAGGTTCAGCTACAAGCTCACAAAAGAACTTAGCTTCTTCTCCATCCATGACTTTTAAAGAAGTCAGTCCCCAGGTAAATTCTGGAGCTCCTTCTTCCACAGTTTCAAATGTCTCAAAGATCTCTTCAGCTGTTGGGGCTTGCAATGGGCTCTCCTGTTTAGGACTTGTTTCTTTAGGACTTGTTTCTTTTGGACTTGTTTCTTTTGGACTATATTCCTTTGGGCTCTCAACAGGTTTCAATTGTAGTTTGATTTCCATTTCCTTCATTTCAACTGGTTTGCCTTTGATGTCCAGTTTAATCTCTTCTTTGTGTTTTTCAGTCTCTGTAACTTCTTCAGTGACTTCTTCAGGTATCTCAGATGTAGTAATTGTTATTGTTTCTGTCGTCGTCTGTGATTCTGGTAGTTCTAACTCCATTTGTATTGTCTCAGGTTTTTTGCTTATGTCCAATGTAACTTCATCTTTAAAAGTCTCTTCAACAATTGGTATTTCTATAGTCTCTTTACTTTCCTCTGATGATGTTATCGTAAGTAATTCTGTGGTTACCTGTGATTCTGGTATTTCAATCTCCATTTGCACTGTTTCAGGTTTCTTGCTGACATCTAAAGTTACTTCATCTGTGAAGATCTCTTCAACAGTTGGTACTTCAAAAGTTTCTGTTACTGTTTCAGTGGTAATATCCATGTGACTTACTTCTGTTGTTTCTGGTACCTCTTTCTCTTTTATTTCAATTTCAAACTTGACATTCTCTTTAGGTACCTCTTGAGTTACAATTGTAAACTCTTCTGCTGTTTTCTCTTTGACCTCAGCAACTTCAGTGACTGTCTTTGGTGTCACTTCAGTAGATTCTATGTCCAATGTTTCCTGAGTTACTGGAATCTCTTTTTCTTTTGGAATTTCAATACTCTTTGTAACTTCCTCAGCAAGTTTATCAGCAAATTCCAATATTATTTCATCTTTGTGATGTGTATCAGTTACTTCAGGAATTTCAAACGTTATAGTTTGTGTTACATCTGTCTTTTCTGTAGAAGTAACTTCTTCAGTTTCAGGAATTTCATTTTTCTTCTGAACTTCAATGTCAATAGAGACTTTTTCTGATGGTATATCTTGAACATCCATTATAATTTCTTCAGGTTTTGTGTCAGACACAATTGGGACTGTTATAGTTGTGGTTTCTGTTTTCTCTGTTTTCTCAGACAAAGTGAATTCTTCCTTTTCAGGTAGTTCTTTACTCTTTTGAACTTCAATATCAATTGAGACCTTTTCAGAGGGAATATCCTGAACTTCTAATGTAATCTCTTCTTTTTCAGTTTCAGTAACTAAAGGAACTATTACTGTACTACTATCAGTAATTTCAGTCTTTTCAGTTGAAGTAACTGTTTCGATTTCTGTGGTTTCAAGACCTTTAATTTCAAAAGACATTTGTACTTCTTCCAAGGGTTTCTCTTCAGTTTCAACAGGCTGCTCTTTTTGAGGTGTTGTTTCCAATTCTGGAAGCTGAATTGTTTCAGTCACAGTTTCTGTTACAGTTTCAACGTCTTTCACCTCTTGTTTTTCAGGGACCTGTTTCTCCGATGGCTGAATGGCAAAAGTTAACTGAACTTCTTCCATTGGCTTACCTGTAATATCAAAAGTTACTTCCTCCTTATGAGTTTCTGTTACCTCTGGGAGAACCTGTTCTACAATTGTCTCCTTGGTAACAGTGTCTATCTGAATAGTCTCTGTTACTACAGGTGCAGACTGATCCTGAACATCTATTTCAATCTCAAATGTCTGTTCTTCATCTGGAATCTTCACAAGCTCAATAGTTTCTCTCTCAGAGACCTTCACCTCCTCTTCAGGTGCTCTGGTTTCCATTTCAGGTGCAGGTTTAACTGTTATTGTTTCTCTTTCTTCAATCTCCATTGGTTGGCTTGGCGCTGGAACTTCAGTCTCAACTGGAGTTATTTCTTCAGGTACTACGGTTGTTGTTAATTCCATTACCACTTCCTGTTTCAACGGCTTTGCTTTAATGTCAATTTCTATTGTCTCTTTTTCAGTTGGTTGAGCTTCAGTTGGAACTTCTTTTGATTGAATTTCCTTTGTGGAAACTTCAATAGTTGGTCTAGTCTCTTCAATTTGCTCATCAGCTGGTCTTGGAGCCTGTGCTGTTGATGAAGGGGCGGAAATGGTAATATCAGTAGTAGTTGTTTCAGTCTTTGGAACAACCATTTCAATCTGTTTTGGTTTCTGAGTCATTGTTGACTCTTGAATTTCAACTTCAATTCTCTGTGTTTGTGTCCTTGTTTCTTCAATATCAGTAGTGACCATAGTTGTTGAAGTTGTCTTGGGAACAGAAACCAGCATTTCAATTTCCTGTTGAGGTTTAGATTCAGGTGTTATCTCAATTGTCTCTGTATGAGACTCAGGATCTCCTCATCTTCAATCTCTTTGATTCTCAGTTCCTTTGTTACTGTTGTCTTGGTGGTCTGTGTTGCCGAGACGATGTCTTTTTCAACAGGTTCCTCTGGTATTTCCATAGTTAGCTGCACAGGTTTATCTTGACCTGGTTTGTCAATAATGATGGTAGTAGTCCTTCTTTCTTTGCCTTCTTTTATCTCAGGAATCTCCTCAGGTTGTTCCTAAATCAATGAAATAAAATGTCAATACATTTCTTATTTTAAGTATAACCAGTGTACATAAAAAGCTAACTTCATAGAATGATTCTTTTAACATAACTAAGAAAAACAGATCATTTAAAATTTAGAACAATCAATATATATCAATTTCAAATTCAACATTATTTTACCAAAAAATGCATAGTTAGAAAAAATATCATTATGGCATGCACTATTCCTTTCTGAGATCTGTGAGTTCCTTCTTGTGATAAAGATTATATTTGAATATAAGACTCTTTGACACTATTGAGAGTACATTTAACTCTCTAATAATAGATATTTTACAGGAATGATACAACAAATGTTTCTACTTCTTCACTTTCTTTTAATTTACAGCAAAATGTCAATAATTCTGTTTCGAATTTCTGTCACATGTCTAAAGAATCTTAGAGGCTTAAAAGGTCTAAGATGTATTTAATGTAAATATCTATCATATTCATCAGTGTTTTTACTCTGGTGTCCGTTCTTGTCTGAAATAATGCTCAGAAGGGCACCCAAGGTCTTCCCCACCGGTAAAGCTTGAAAATCACCACATGACATTATGTACAACCCAATAACAAAAAAAATAAAAATCACCTGAATCTGGCTTGTTATAGTTGTGTAAGTTGTAGTCTCAGTCAACTTTTCAGCAGTTGTAGAGGGTGTAGTCTTTGGTACACCCACCCTTATCTCAAAAGCAGGCTGAGGTCTCTTTGGTTGTTGGCCAATCTCTATGGTTTCCTCAGTTCTTTGTGTAGGCAGAACAACGGTTTTTGGTTGTTGGTCAATTCTTATAGCCTCAGTGTGAGTAGTCTCTTCCGGTATAATCATAGTGTCATCAGGCTGGCCTTTCACCTGAATCGTCTTCGTAACACGTGTAGTTTCAGGAACCTCCTGTGCTTCTGGGAGAGTGTGTTGAATCTCAATGGTTTCCTTGTGAGACTCTGCTGATGGAATTTCCTCTTCAGGACCTACAATAGTCAGTCTACAGGTGGTTATAGTCTCACCAAGTTTGTTGGAAGCAACACAGGTGTATTCTCCTTCATCTTCTGGAAACACTTCAATAATGATTAACATACTAGTTCCTTTATCGTAGTCAATGACAATGTCAAAGTCAGTACTTTTAACTACCTCCTGACCATTATGGAACCAGCGTAGTCTTGGGGATGGACGGCCAAGGAAGTGAACAATCAATTCAACTCTCTGACCGTCTCTAACAGTCACTGGTTGGAGTAACTGTGTAAATTCTGGAGCACGAAGCTGGTCTTCAGGGATTTCATCTTCACTAGTGAAGGCATAGTCAGATTCAAAGACTGGCCTCTTGACAATGGTTTCCTCCTCATCTGTGTAGATATAGGTTGTCTCTGTAGGCTCAGGAACAAGCTCAATATCCTTAGTTTTATGAGCTGAAAAGATATATAAAACAGTACAGAAATAAGGTATAGCCAAAGAGTTTTCATTAAAAGGTGTAAAGCTATACATGTATATATCTAATGATATATTTCTATAGTGTTTATAAATGGTATAACTATGTTGTTTCCATAGTCTCATAGATTTTAAACATAGAATATCTCTGTAATTTAACTAACATGAGCATTGTAGAAAAAGAGAGTAAATTTTCCAAACAAAATACTATGTTGCTATTTAACTATGATTTGTAGACGTGCCATTTTCTTTTTTGGAAATATAAAAACAAATTTCCTTTAATACAGGTACATTGTATTTTGGATTTATTCTTTTACAAAATTTAAACAATGATTTTATTTAAACCATGAACAGAAACTCTATAGCTTTATACACTTTAATACTTCAAAAGCAGTGCAAAAGTAAAACTAATTCTTTGTGTGAAATATGGAAACAGAGATCCAGCTTGAAGTAGATTGAGCTAAAACTATGAAAGCAAAACTTTCTTTAACCAATTATCTGACATTTACATTATATTACCCCTAGGTATTAAAAATAACTTTTATTTATAAAAGTTTTTGCATCTTAAATTTGAGGAGTATTAAAGCAGCATGTTATAAATGCCATGCAAAAAAATACACTGACGTAAATGTATAAATATGAAGGTAGCACTCACGAGTGATATGAAGTGTTGACTTGCAAGTCACTATTCCGGAATCATTCCTGGCTTCCACGACATAGTCTCCAGAATCTTCTGGCACAGTATTAAAGATAATCAGGGTGGACACATTACGATCAATTATAATCTGTATCCTTGGTGATGATTCTATAGGCATGTCATTGTAATACCATGTTACTGTTGGTAAAGGCTGCCCTGTAACCTCTATCACAAACCTATTAAAAAACAAAAGAAGAAGTAGAGACCATGTATGGCCTTTATAGACAAGTGGTCTTTATTCAAGTTGACTCTATTGTATTTTTATCAATGAAGGTATGTCAAAGGATGACTTTTTTGTCAAAGGGTGGTCTTTGTTCAGAGGTGGTCTTAAACACAGGTTTGACTGTAGTTATCAAGATAATTTTATATACTTAGTGCAATTCATGTGGTGTTAATGCCCATCTGTTAAATTAACAACTTTTAACAAAAATTCGTAGATAAAAAGGGGCATAACTCTAAAAATTTAGCTTTCAGAATTATGCCCCAAGTCAACAAAGGTACCTTGTCAAGTTAAGCAAGTATTCCAAGTACTTAAAATATTTGAGAAATGGGCTATATTAAAGTTTTTGCATGACAACAACAAGGAAACAGCAATCATAATAGCCTAACTTTTTCTTTGAATCAGATGAGCTAAAATAAGACATTTTGATATAAGGATTGACTGAATTGAAATTATCTTGAAATGTTTTCTGGAAAACATTTCGAATAAAAAAGACGTAATAAATAATCATTATATTATTTATATTATGGTTTCTAGGTTCTACTATTTCTTACAACCATCATCATTTTAATTCATTAGGGAAATTGGGTAAGTAGGAAATATAGGAAAGGTTCACATTAAACAACATATGTTACAACACATTATGTATTCTTTAAAGGAACTTAAATAAGGTCCAAAAGTTTAATAACATAAAAATCAAATTTCTTATAAATATCAATTGACACACTTAAATCAGAAGAATATGCAGAAAGTAATTAAGAATAACACTAAGAAATAAATTGAAAAATGTATTTATGCTATTATAAAAGCACGATTTTAGTTGCAAAGCTTTTCATTTTTTTTTGTCATTTTTAGCAGTTAGAAGAATTATTCTGGAAAAACGAAGTCAGTGAATGATCTGAACATTAGCACAAAAGCTATTGGTCTAGAACTACATCAAAAGGATAATTAATCTCCAGAAATTATTTCCAGTCTTGTCATGTCAAAAAAAACAAAAACAAAAAAACCCTCAGTGGAGTCCCTTTAATATGCTAAATATAATTTTGTAAGATGAGCAATACCTTTTAACTATGAATAATCCTTTCAAATAATCTATAATAAGTATCAAAAGAAGTATTTACTTTCATCACAACACCAACTTCTTCCATGGTAACGTTTTTAAGGTGATGTGTGTAATTTATGAAGCCATGGGTAAACTTATAACTTAAGATACCACCACCTTACCAAAAAAGGTTGACCTTGTACAGATGGTTGGTTCATGTTTTTATATGGCTGAAGCATAAATAATGATAGATACTTACTTGGCAACACCTCCTTCTGGCAGCTCTAGATCTGACACTAGTGGACGGATAAATTCAGGTGGTTGTTTCTTTTCCGAGGGCTGAGGAGTTTCCTCAACTGGAGTTTCATCCATTGGTTCTTCTTCCATTGGTACTTCTTCAACTGGAACATCTCCAATGTCAGCAATGATTGTTGTGGCCTCTGTTGATGTGGTAGAAATCTCAGATGGTTCATCTGCTGATACTGCAAGAAATTCACAAGTGCTATTTCACAAGTTTTTATCATTTTTTTGTACTTTACTTATATTTTTTTACTTTTTACTTGACTGGAATGTAAGACAAAAAGCACTGTTTTAAGTCATATGTTTTTACATGTCAAATTAAAAATGCACTGACATGAAATTAAAACTCTTTTTTGTATAATATTTCATTTCTAAATATGTATATGTTAAAAAACATATTTAAGTGAAAGCAAAGTTATTAATAATTGCTTATTTATATTTATTCTTAGTGTTCAAGACATTAACATAAATAAAACCTACTGTCTTCTTTGCTCTTAAATTAATTGAACAAAACTGAGAATGTTTAAATGTTTACCTTCTACTAAGAGATTAGCAGTAGTGACAGATTCGCCAAATGGATTTACTGCCCTACAAGCATACTCTCCAGCATCCTCTGGGAAAACTTCAGGAATCTCAAGAACACAAGTTCCAGTGTTTGTCTCAAACCCAGGCTGGAAGTCAGAGCTGGGAGTAATTTCTTGACCCTCACGGTACCAAGTAATTGTTGGTGTTGGCATTCCTATCACCTTGCACATCAGAAGCACTCTATCCCCATCTTTTGTTATTTGTGGTTGAAGAAGTTCAACAAATTCTGGTGGAATTTCTTCCACTGTTTCTCCTTCATCTACTGTTGCATAAATGTCTTCAACATGGATTTCTTCTTTTGGACGTGGAGCTTCTTCTCCATTAGTACTTGATTTTTTATCAAGTTTTTCATCTTTTGGAGCAAGTTCGGGAATCTCAACTTTCTTTGTCACTTGATCTGGAACCAGAGTTTCTTCCTGTACATCCTCTTGTGCTTCAACTGGTTCTTCTTTAACTGGAGTGATTTCTTCAACAAATTCAGGTTCTTCAGGAGCCTCCTCTTTGACAATGGCTTTTGGTTTGGGTCTATCCACCTTTGCTGGTTTTACTGATGGTTCCAGTACTTCTTCTTCAGCTACTGGTGG